CTCTCTACAATAGCTGTGGGATGTGCCTCCTGGCGCCACACAGAGCACATCCACGTCACGTCCGTACAATGGAACGAGGGCGGCACTCTGCTGGCTAGTGTCCTCTACAAGAGGCCACCGTTTGTGTTTTATATGGCCAAGCACACGAAATCCCGGATTTTGCTTTGAGCATACATTCATTGCGATGATGATCAGGCTCGGCTCTCCGCACAAATGTCTATCCCACATGCATGTCTTTCGGTCGTGCCAAGGATGGGCTTCGAAACCTGACAACTGGCTGGAATTCGGGGCACTTTTAGTTGACGATCCTCAAAGAAGTGGACGATAACCGATGGTGAGCATTGCCAGGTGTGCCTCCAATTAATTCCAATGATATTCCGCTTCTATATACATTCATTCGATCTCTATTCACTCTATTTTCCACACTCCCCATCATTTAAAAGGCAACATTTTATGGTTCAAGATACATGTTTTCTGCTATGGAGGCGAATCAAGAGAGAAAGTTTGATATGAATGTGATACATGTACGACGATGGGGGATAAGAGAAGTAACAAAGGGAACACCTATTGAATCGATGTTAGATCGATACGAGTACGAGAACCAGAGGTTCTTCTGGTTGGACAATGGGACACAGAGTCCCTTGCCATAAAACGAATTAATGTTGGTGTTTGCCGATCAGCTCAACAATTGAAGAATAGATAAGGCCGGAGCTCAATAGTAAAGAAATGAAAAGCTCTATGACGATCCCCTGAAATTCTGAAAAATTTAGCGAACAAGCACTGAATGCCACAGAATCAGAAACGTGGCCACGAAACACTTCCCAAAGCCACTTGTTATGCGACAAATAATGCCATTTCGATTTATAATCATGCACAGGACCGCGAGACAATATGTTTACATCTAGCCAGTCGGAAAATGGGCCCTCGGCTATGTTTGCGTACACGCGAATGGGAGTGCAGATAGCAGACTGCAGACTGCAGACTGCAGACTGGTGGCTGGTGGCTGGTGGAGGCTGAAGCGGAAACAGGGGATATGCATTTTCCAGCGAATCGCCATAATAACAATAACAAAAGTGCACACAATTTACGGCTCGTGTCAATGCCATGGCCTTCAAAAGCGGGTTCGAATCGGTGGCAAAAACACAGGTGTGAATGCTGTGTGCACCATCGCCATCGCCATCGCCATCGCCATGCCCATGGCTATGGCTGTGGCTGTGGCTGTGGCTATGGAATTCTCTATCGTTCTGCCCGAACCAAATTGTATTACCTACACTTTCATTTAAGTTGATTTTGCGGCTGCCATCTGTCCATCCGTTGAATCAAAAGGAGAGAAGAGACCAAAGCGAAACAAAAAGCAGAGAGCTGTGTCGAATGTGAAACATGTTTTCGGTTAGGGTTTTGCTTCTTCCTTCCTTTTTATTTTTTTTTTTTGTTGTTGTTCGCCACCGTCCAAATCAAATTTGTCAGCCTTGTCGGAGGAGCAGGACAGGACAGGACAGGACACGAAAGCACAGTATGACACACAGAAAAACTAAAAGTATAAAAAAAAAAAAATGAGAGGAGAGAGGGGATAGGGGAGAAAGGATTAAGCCTGGGGACAGAGTCACGTTCGTGCTCGTCGGGCCAATTACAATTTTATAACAGAATTTTCTGATGCTCCCCAGCTGCTCCCCTGCGGCTCCCCTAATGCCCGGCTAGTCTCCTTTGCTGCTCCAAAATACTGCTATCCATTCGCTGTCAAGCGAACTGTACCGCCCTGTGCTCCCCTCTGCTCTCCTTTACTTTCTTCTGCTGTGCTGTGCTGTGCTGTTGACAAAGGCTAATGCAAATTGAAGTGACAATGTGGTCCGACTATTCTCGCCTCGTGTTCGGAAAGCATAAATTATAATTAATCGTACACCCCCGCAGGAGAGCGAGTATCGGTCTCTGATTTCGCTCTCTCTCTCTCTCTCTCACTCTCTCTCTCTGTGGGTGTTTCTGTGTATGTTCTGCGGTTGTTGCTTCTCCTAAATTTACACAAATTGCTGTTGACAGTTGTGTCATAGTTGTGTCATAGTTGTGTCAGTTGTGGGCCAGGCCCGGGCCCTGGCTTCGGCAGGACTTATGCATACATTTTGGCAAATATGTACGGGTAGGATACTCGTGTATTGTTTGCTCCATTCGCCCCGTTCGCTCTGCTCTCTGTTTGAGTTTCGGTGAATTGCCTGTCAGATTACCAAATGCGATTCATATCACAATTCACAATCCACAATTCACAATAGTTTTCGGCCTAAGGGTATCGTATTCCCCTGTGGCACACCGAATGCCAAAAATAATATTTAAATTTGCAAATTTAATACTTTTGAACTTCATACAGACCCTCAAGGTGTCAGCAGGGTGGGCTCTCCATCTATCAAGATTTTCGAGAGCGTGTGTGTGGCTAGCATATTAAAATTGACTTATCTGCCATAAAATGCAGATGAAATGCACAGCTACTGAAGCAGCCCTTGAGTACACCTCACTGATAATGATGCTCAGCTGATGCTGATGCCGATGCTGATGATGTTCGCTGACTCTTTCAGCCATCGCTGGTCGTGCGTAATGGCATTTTGACAAATTATCTTTCCATAAGCCATAAATACACACTCTACACTTGCACTCTACACACACGCACACACACACATACGCACACACACACAGACAGTGAAGGCAGCTAAATCTTGTGGTGCCATTGCGGAAGTACGACTAAGGGTGTGTTGGTTTATGGGCTCTGTCTGGTGTAGGTAGCATAAAGCATACATGGATCTCACACACATACGATATGAATGATGCCAAAAAGAGCTTCGATGTTGCTTGCGTTGAGTGCACTATGATGCGTTGCGTTTGCTTTTGTGAAGTACCCATCAAGTTATTCACGATATTTTCATATATATTTCATCAGTTTAATATCGAAAAGATCGCTGTTGTCTGGCTTTCACAGGAGGTACATCTGTTTATTAGTATATAGTTTATTAGATAGTTATTTTCCACAAAACATTTGCTAGAGTATCCAGACACGTCGTGACCTCTCCTCGAGAGCTCGACTAAGAAGTTTGCTTTCGCGTAGTGCCGTAGTTGCCTCAGTGAAGTGTCTCTAATTTTTGCTTTCATAATTTGCCATAAAATCCACACGTTCATTTACAAATCATTTATCATAATGCCGACAACGCCGCTGACAAAGTGGCTTTCCACACAGCAGTATCCAAAGAGAATATATATAGATATGCAGAAAGTGTGAGCAAGAGACAGAGAGAGAGAGAGAGAGAGAGATGGTGGGTGGAAGGCGGCAAATAAGATACCACTTGCGACTTTAATAAAACTTTTACCCCGGCCGCCTGGCCACTGGCATGGGAGGGTGGAGCACACACTTTTTTTTTTTGTTGTTTTGCAGTTCGTTACCCGCACCTAAGTGGGCGTGTGGCCTGGTGGCTGGTTATCCTATCCCTATACCTGAACATCTCTTGCACTTTAGCGAAAACTTGCTCGTCGACCTCCCACTCCTACTCGCACTGCTCGTCCTTCAGCTTTCATTTTCTTATTGGCCTCTCGACTAGCCATGGCGAAGGCCGGCCGTCTTGGCTGGCTTCTTTAAAGCCATGAAACGCACTGTATCTATTAAGCATTCCTGAAAGACCAAATTAAATTCGCTTTTGTTTTAAATATTTGTTCAAGTTTCCCATTGCCTCGGATTCACTTAATTTCCCCCTTTGTGATGAGCCTTAAAGGGGGCGGCGGCCGGTGAGGTGGAGAGGTGTCAGTGCTTGACGTCATGGGTTGTACTTGCAGCTGCTGACTTTTGATACCCCCTAAACGTAGAGCACAAGGGTATGTTGTATATCGTATATTGTATTCGGGAAAAGGTATTCACAATTTAGGAGACTGTTTGTCTAACTTTATTTATAAATATTTACTATGTATAGATTGTAGAGTATAGTACTACTCTATTGTAGCCCAAATCAAGTCTATACCGCGCTCGGTGCCTTATTTTTAGCTTCTCGTATTGCTTTTTGAGCTTGTTTCCCTTTTTACCATTTTTTTGTGCCTTTGTTGTTGAGGCTTGGCAAAAAGCGAACCGGAGAGTGCCAATGTGGGTGTGGCGCACAGACACGGACACGGACACACTCATTCAAGCTAAGGTGAGATGGTGTCTGAGATTCTTACACCAAGGTTGCATCACGAGAGAGAACAAAAAAACACAAAAACACAAAATTGCATGCAAAATGAGTTCGCCTGTTGAGATTTAGTGATAGAGCACACACACACACACACACACGCACAGAGATGCTCAAGTGCTTGAGGTAAGAGCCTCCTCCTCTCTCCACCCACCTCGCTTACGCCTTAACTAAGCCTCATTTGAGTGGCCGCTTCCGAAAGCCATGTATAAGATTTTCCATTGCCTACTTTTTGGGGCAGGAAAATCGTACATTCAATCCCATTTTTAGTCCTGACTAAATAATGTTGTAGAGAGCTTATATTTTCGATTTAGAATATTGGATATTGCACATTCGAATTTCATACATATTAGGTAAATATTCCTTCTGAAACGCCCTCTAATGGGTATACAAGTATATGCCTTTGTTTGCCTTGTAAACTTTTTCAATATTTGCAGAATTGCAATCTTAATGATCGCATCAGGGCACCAGACAATGTTTTCTTTGCCCTGGTGTTTGCACACTCTGCAGGATATAAAAAATCAATTAGCTTTCGCTCGAATGCGCAACTTTTGCAGGCATTTTTATGGCTTTTCCCCCCAGCTTCTCCTGCAGCTTCGCTTTGCCAGGCAGGCTCCATTTTCATTTGCAATTATTACGCATAATTTGCCAGTGGGCCAGCACCGGAGGTCGCTAATGAAACAATTGTTGGTGGTTCCTGTTCTTGTTGCTGTGATGCTGATGCTGATGGTGATGGTGATGCTGATGGTGAGTATGGTGGCTGTGAGTGGCTATTTTACGATTCGCACGAGTATGGTTAGCGAGACTTACCCAGTATGACCAGGCCATTGCCGAGGAGTCCGGCGAAACCAATAATGCCAAAAAAGACGGGCACTATGGTGGATACGATGCGCTCCAAGGGCCAGCTATCCGGATCGTAGTCCATCGAATCATTCGCATGTTGGTCGGTTGTGAATGGATAATTACTGGAATTGTTGCCATAATTGTTGTTGCTGTTGATTGTGTTGTTTTCGTAGTTGTTCATGTTGTTCATATTGTTGCTCGTAGCCCCCTCACTGGCCAGAGGCCAACTGCTAATTAGGGCGGCCAACAATATGACCATGGCCAGGCTCTTGCCCATATTTAACGCCTCTTTTACTATATCTATCACGAGTATATATATATATATATATATATAATATCTCCTAGACTCTTTCTCAATCGAGAAAGTTGTGTGCTGCTTTTTGTAGTGATTTTTAATTGGTTTTCTCTACTGTCTGTTTGTTTCGTTCAACATTGGAATTGTGTTTTTTCCGGGAACATATATTTCATCTTGTTTTTGTTTCATTTTACAGTTGTAGTGCGCCCACAGCCACGCCTACCTCGTGACTGGAGCGTTTGCTGGTGGCGGCGGCACCCACAGCACCGGGATGTATGTATGTCCTCCTGAAAGATACAAAATGAGAGTCGTATAATAAATACGTATATATCGGACACGGATATCTGCATAAAGCTCTATCTATCTCTAGCTGCGGGCCACCAGTCAGTTAATGGATGGACAGTCAAGGTCGCCAACTAAATGAAAGTAAAGTGTGGCCTACCATGGGACAAAAAATGGTAAAAAGCCCGCAGTTTTTATGTCGCTGATTCGCTAATTGAGTGACGAATGGACAATGAATGAATTCAATTGGCAAATCGATGGGTTTTTTTGTAGAACAAAAAGTGTAAAGTCGGTAGCAAGTGCTTCTTGTATATACATATAACGATAGATCGATTGGGAACAAGTCTCACCATTAATTCATTAAGCAGACAATGGAAAAAAGAGTGTTTGCTCTGCCTCACTTTCATACCACTGTTCACTGTTTCATACCATCTGCATAGTCATGTACAAAATATGCAAAAAATAATTTAATTCCATTATACGAATGGGCTGGCAAATTCGGGAAATAATCGGCACAGGGAGAGAATGGAACTTGGGGTTTCATCATCACATTTGCATACTTTAATAAATAAAATTTATGTCGAAATCAGGCTCAGTGCGCCAAAAAAAGAACACACACAGATATAGACATTACGCCACGTGCTCGTGCTGTGCCTCAATTAGCCACATCCGATACATATTGTACGAGTTGTATCCACCTCATGCTATCCTCCTCCCATTTCTCCCATCTTTCTCGAACTGCTGCAGGGCCTGCTGTGAACCGGATCGGACGGACAGTCGGACTAATCGAGGAGACATATGTATGTGCTGTCATGTCGTGTCCGAAATGGCACGCTCCAAGGGCCGACAGTTGGCTTAAGCTGTCAATTAACATATTATTAGGCGAGTAGCACACAAACAAAAAAAAAGGAAGGAATATATTTGGGGCTGATGGAGAACGCAATGATTCGATGGAGATTCCATGACAAACGATGACGACACGAAAGAAGACCGCACAAAGACTTGGGACGAATCTCTAGAACTGTTTTCATACAATTTCCCTGAAAAACACACAAAGGGAAGTTCGAAAACCAAAAAGATAGTATGTAAAAAATGAGTACATTTCTGGGCCCTACAAATGGCATAAATATGAAAGCACAATGAAAACAGACGATAGACGATTCAGCACAGACGAAATTGGCATTTGCAGCACAGAATTGAAGGCGTGATTCGGCCCCGTCTGTATGCATAACAATTGGCAGCTCGCACCACACCACAGACAGGACAGACAGCCAGGACAGACAGACAGACAGACAGACAGACAGGACAGACAGCCAGGACAGACAGCCAGGACAGACAGATAGACAGACACACATAAATTATGCAGATGATATCTGAGCCGAGGCTCGAATTTGTATCATTTCTGTTTGCGCTCTAACAAATTGGCGTTTTCTGGCCGGGTGACAAGCTGAATTATTTCTTTATGGGACTTTTAATTAAATCAGGCCGCAGCAATTATTTCGCAATGTTTTCCCGCCACTGTTTGATGCTGTTCATTCATAATATATGTATTTATTTGCTTAACGCTAGCTCAAGTTAGAATTATGGAGTAGTGAACGCGATTTAATGGTTAAGTCTTTTGAGTCAAGCCCCGGTATGGCATGGAGCAGAGGGAGTGAGTGAGGATTTATGTTGAGCATTTTAAGCTGTTTTGATTTACGGCTTCTCGGGCCAAATTCGCTCTGCGGCAAACTGTTTATGGATTAAGAGGCGAATAAAAGAGCTCCGTTTTGAGCGCCAGAAGAGCGTCCTCCGTCCATCCGCAATGCTCGTTTCAGTGGCTCTTCCTGTGGCTATGGCTGTGGCTGTGGCTCTCTGTCTGTGCGGCAGTATCACGAGGGAAAACGGCCATGAAATTGAATTTGTTAGTTTCACAGCTCGACGAAAGGCCGAAGTAAAAAGTGTCCGTTGTGCTTCACAACAATGTCGGCTAGGAAGAGGCAACCAGGCCCTTTTTAGGAGCAATCAAAAAAGAAAAACGATTATCTGATTCGTAGATAAAAAGTGTGGAAAGTTCCAGATATATTTGACAAACGGATTCCACTCTACAAGTGTATTCAAGACCACTGAAAATGGAATGATTAATAACAAAGGAACCTCATTAAACATTTCATCGAAAGCCTTTAAAGGCTTTATTCGAAAGTTTCGAAATTGTTTCCTAATCGATTCAAGACCATTACAAGTCTATAACTGATTTATGATCTGTATCTCGTCTGCTTCCAGCGACAAGCCCACCGTCAATTAGTCGTCCAGTTTTTATCCGATGTCCAATACCCGATGCAGACTTTGAGTCCAGATGGAAATGCACAGCTAATCCGATTCGAGGCACAACCGAATTGGGATGGATATCGCGCTGGTTATTGGTGATTGGTGTTTGGTGAGTTGACAGAAAATCCACTCAATGCCCATCACTTCGAATGGGTATGCATCCTTCAATTATGGGCTTCGAGTCTAGTCATGACAGCTTAAGCTTTGCAGCGGCAGTTGCTGTTGTGCGGCAGAAAACCCCATCATTCACTGCACTTCAATGCCACTCCACGCCACTCCGTGGGGCGCACACACTAACCCAATCAGACAGTCAATCAGTCAGTCAGATGGCGTGATTACGTATACGCAGCATGGTGCGGCCGAAAAGAGCTTCGTCCCGACACTCCTCTGTGCAACTCCTCTGCTCTTTGCCACAACGAGATGCAGCACATGCAACACAATGGCCAGAGTACCACAAATGAAAATTCCCTCTAGGCATCAGAATTTCTCGCTCGCATTTCCTAAGGCAATTCCACTCAGAGCATCTCCCTCCGCCCATCCACCCATCCACCCATCCACCCCTCAATCAATCAATTGTGGGCCATGACAACCCTATTGTTGCCATCGGTGAGCTGATTATTTCATTTACTTCAATTAGAAGTGGGCTTGCTTTTAGCGCGCAGGAGTCTGGGGGTGCCCATGCCCATGCCCGTGCTCGACTTTGCCGCTTATGTGGCTTTTATGAGAACGCTGCCGTTCAATCTAATTGCGTTTTTATGGCCTGAGTGCGAATCATAAAAGCAGCAGAGCAGAAGCACAGCCCAGACCATGCGGCACACCAAGATGAACTGATGCCAGTCCCAAGGCTGTTACCGGCAACCGGCAACAGGCAACAGGCAAAAGGCAACAAGCAGCAGAAAGAGCCAAAGGCAACATAGCAACTGAAACAACAGCAAAAACAACAAATTCCATCATAAAATTAGATGCCTAGCCGAAGCCGAAGCCGCCAATAAACAGGCAACATCTGTTCTAAATTAAATATTAATAATTAATTAACTCAAAAGAAAAAAAACAAAAAACAGAAGAGCAAAACGGTAGCAGCCAGCAGAAGCGAAGCGAAACGAAACGAAACGAAATATTGAAAAATAAATAACAAACAGCAAAACGAAACGAAACCAGAAGGAAAATGTGGCCGCCAGGGTCGTAGCACTAGATACCCTTAAAGATCGATTATTGCCATGGCAGATTATCGTTCTCTGATCGATCAGATGTATGGGTATAGTTGCTTGTTCAGAGAAGTGTCTGTGCAGCCATAGAATTGCTTTTGTTCTCTATGTTCCCATGTGCTTTGCGAAATCGTTTTACCCTCTGTTGTCAGGGTACAACCGGAACAAGAGCCAGCATGTCTTTAAAGTTGCTGTCGCTGGCGTACGCGGCGTATGAGCAACGCACAAAACTTTTCCCTGCTCTATGGAGGATGTACATATGTGTATGTGTATGTGTGTGTGTGTGTGTGTGCGTGTGTGCGTGGGTGATTGTGGGAGTACGAGTGAGTATTTGCTGATGGCAAATGTGGTTAGTCCATTTGAGAGTGGAATGCTAACTGGATGCAATAGAGAACATGCATGAAACCCTTTGATTATAGCATGGGAATATTCCCAGCGGAATATCGACTGAAACGGTTGGATGGGAAACAAGTTTGTGGAACACAGCGCACGAATGTAACACAATGAGCATGAATCTTGTAAAATTCCCATTACACTACACTGGAAAAAGGGAAATGAATTATAATTTTTATAAATGCTGCGAGCGTGCGCTGCCTTCAAATTGTGAGAGTAATTGTCCAATTAGTTGCTCAAGAATCAATGCCATAAATCGATTATTTCTCGCTGATCAACTGAGCAACCAGAAGCCAGTGATTGTACAGGGAAGTCTCCCCATTCGAGTGCATGTAGACGAAACATTCCGCATCTGTCCTCCTCCCACAGCCATAAGAGCGAATGCAGCGCAAAGCAACGCCTTCTGCCTTTGTACAAAATGAATATGCCATTGAAATATTTGCATAGCTGGCAGAGGCAAACAGGCAAACCAGGAAAGCGCACACAAAGGACACCACAGCGGTGTAGGTGGATGGGCCATCATGGCGGATGCTTAATATTGATATTATGGGTCGTATTTAATTGGAAGCGGAACCCATCCATCCATCCGTCCCACACAAACTGCACATTTGAATGACGCTTTATTTTCCATTTGCCAGTCGACTGTCCACAGGGTCCTTCAAACAAATTGCCTCCGAAATGGACAACTCAACGCAAAAAGCCACAAAAATGTAATTACAAATTAAAGTCCGGGCCATTGATAGGTGAAATGAGAGAGTGTCATAGGTAAATTCATTAATATGTGAATAAATTCTA